TTAAATGGCCACAAATTAAAGAATAATAATTAACATTTATTACAAATGTCAAATTTACAAATTTTATAATTGATAACGAACTTCTGATAAAAATTGATAAATAATATCAAGGATAGCTAGCGCATTCTGTTATCAGGAATCCATTACTACTACAATTCTGGCTCCATTTGAGACGTTCTAGGCGTTTCCGATATTTATCATTGCGTGAGCTATCTATACTTATTTAATCAATGCTTTGTAGTAGCTTTATTAATATTTTTTTGGTTTTTAAATAATATTATTAAAAAATTATTTTGAAGTGACTGCAATTTATCTAACCGTAATTTCTCAGTAAATTTTTAAAAAGTTGTCTTATGTTTCGCTTCATAATGCCTTCGAATATTGTACTCCTTAAGTACAGAAATACTTTCTTGCATATTAAACAAATTATTTTGTCACCTAAATAAATTACGAAATAATCCAACGACCACTTATCATTGAAAATACGACATTCTGAATCTATTTTCCTTTTCAATCCTCTTCCTGACATGCCGAATTGGTGAATTAATAGGTAAAGAATAATATTTATAATAAAGGCACTGCAAACTTAGAAATGTAACTGTACAAACGTTATGAAATGATTTCGTCGTACCACTCGTCTATGTGACTGTTGTCGCGATCAGCGCTTATATAAAAATAAATAAGGGTGCCTTCACGACAGGAAAAAAAATAATAATAAATAATAAAAACCAAATATGTGGTATAAAAAATTATAATAAAAAGGAAAACAAAATAAATAATATAAATAATGTGTGGCCCACACGGCACACACCAAATAATAATATAACAATGTAAATAATAATGATATATAAAACAAAATAAATAATTCAATAATTGGCCCAACACGGCGCGCAAATAATAACAAAATAAATAACTAAATAAAATGTGTGGCCCACATGGCACACACGAAATAAGAATTTTATAATAATTTGCCTACGACGGCATACCGCAGTGATACAATAAATATGTGCCTATGGCGGCAATACAAGAGCTCTATATATATAATAATAAATAACGTGCCTACGACGGCTAGGCCCGTCGGCCTTTAAACACAAATGAACAAATATGGTCGACCAATACTCACTTGTGACTATGTTGAAATGGCTGATTCCATCCACGCGACCGCACCAACCCTGTGATTAAACAATTGCCTATGACGGCACACCGCAGTGTATCAATAAAATATAAATCACAGAATTGGTACGTGCGACCACTCAAGCACAGTCACCAACGAAAAAACTGCAACAATCCACAGCCCTGGACGATAACACAATGAATGAAAACCACGTTATTCACAAAACGAAAATGACACTACACAAAAAACGTGGTTTGAATGAAAATGGCTGCGGACGTACGGACTTGACAAAAATGAAATTAGATGTGCACACCACGAAGACACAAAAACAAGAGAGCGACGGTGCCGACGACATTCACCACGAAAGTTATGCCGTCGGACACCACAACGAAGATAAATGTCTCAGTGCCACCACACTAAATCAAAAATACACGAGAACTTACGAAACTTTGGCACTGAGAACATGACTTTTACTTTTACAAAAACATAACCGACAATATGAAGAAAACGTGGAATAACGGGCATTCTCGTACGACGATAACAGCGCGATTACGTGCCCGGCCGGTCGCACACGGAGGCTTATCACCACCACCGACGATGGCTGCGGACACGCAACGCACCGCTACACATCGCACAAAAATGATAACACAATACAGACGAATTACAACACGTTACATTTATTTCGCGGCTTATGGCGCGAACAGTGACTAATCTCTCCATTATCGACGTTAAAACTAAAAACATAAAAGGAAATTGCAATGTCTGTCGTCATAAATTATGATACGTACCCGCGATAACGACTTTTTAAATTACACATATATTTAAATATCTATATTTTATTTACCGTCTTATGGGTGCTGCGGGCCGTTTTAATTTTATAATACTGTTTCTTTTAAAAAAAATTTAAATTGTACCTCATTATTATAATAAATATATTAATACTAAACAATTGTTATTTATATTTTTTTTATATATATACCTATACCTATGCAGGCACCTATGGTTTTTATGAGTGATGATTCTAGAGCAGAGAAAAACTCGTCGCATTCTGTATGGCCTTCTGCTAAGCAATTTCTTTGCCATTTTCTTATGGCACAAGCTGAATGGCGTTGGTTGCATGATACTAAAAATGGAATTAAGCTAGATGATCGCTGTCCACTAATGAGACTGTTCCAAAAAGTAAAATTCATAATTACCTATGTTTTATGTCATAAAATTAAAATTAGAGTATAATATTACTAATATACAAAGGGTTTGAATTGAATATCTATGGAAAATTGTTATTTTTACTATAGGTAATGTATGAAGACAACATGTTAGATTTAGAAAACGCGATAACTGGAATTCATAACGTATCTTCCAAATTTAACAATTTTGTGCAGCGTTTTGAAAAAAATTATAATAGAAAAGAACAGTGGACTAAATTATATAGACTACATATTCTTAACCGAAATCATGAAACTAACAAACTACGCGGAGGCTTCAATCAGGGTTATAAAAGATATACTTCATTATAGGACTAAAGCATATAACGCAGTAGTTTTAGTTGATTTCATTGTTAATGTTGGTGAAAATTATTTTACTTTACGATTGCTTGTTCGTGCACATGATAGACATTTTGAATTCCATAGACTTTATAGCAAATTGTGCTCTAAAATAGGGCATATTGTGAAGGATGATGTTAAACAAATAAATAATTGCACATATTCAATACCTAGCGAATCAAGTCCAAACATTGTATACATATTAAATACTGAAATAGGTATCTGTTCGTGCAAAATTGGATGTGCTGGAGCTTTTTGTAAGCATCAAGCCTCGATTCATGAAAATTTAAAAATACAATTACCTAACTTACCACCTATTACTCTCATTGAACATCATGCACTTGGTATTTTAGCATTGGGTGATAAATGTCCAGAAGCACCATTTTTTCTTGGACTTAAAGAATGTCTTCCCGAAACATCAACTAACAATGAAATTATACCTGTGGGAAATCCTATAGAGCAAAACTCAAATACTAAAATAATTGAGCCTTCAAATAGTACTAAAGAAATTGATTTTAATGTATCAAACCATACAGAATTAATTGCAGAGACTGAAGCTGAATGGCTAAGGTTACAAAAAATGGTACCATCTTTACCACCCATCATACTTCAAAAATTGGCAAAAAATTTAAAAAATATAAAAACGAAACAACAATTTGTAAATCTTATTCATACTGTTAACACATCGGCAAGGACAATTAATAGTAGAGGTAAAAATAGAGTCCAGCCTACTTCTATAAATAGAAGAAAAGGTAATGTTACTCGGGATTCAAAAAGGATTCTAGCAGGGAGGAGACTTGAAACCTATGTGGTAAAAGGAAATATTAGAATATCTCACAATTTGGGTCAAAACATTTCCAAAAGTAAACTAAATGCAAAAAACATGTAAAAGGCCATTAAAATGTTTAATTATTAAGTACCTAATGCATGTATATGTAAGTCCACCAATTTTTATTTACTATAAAAAGTTATATATTTTGAATTTAGTTTTTTATCATTAAAATATGTACTGAATGAATAATTTTATTTCAATAATAAACCATATTTTATTAAGTTTCCTTAAAATTTACTAAAAGTGAAAATTAAAATTCAAGCAAAGACAAAGTTAACAACGGTATTAAAAAATTATATATCATAATATCCTGCAAACATACATTATACTCCTATTTGAAATTATATATAGGTATAATAGGTATTATTTTTAATTGCAAAGTTAAATAAAGGTTATATATTATAACTTTATAAAAGTACAACTTTAACTCACACTATTGTATCACAAAATATATAAATGATTGTATTCTTATAGGTACTCACAAAAAAAATAAATCATTGTAATTATAGATATTATAAAATGTACTTAAGTAAATAGTAAATTGAATGAAAAATAATCTAATGACCAGGGCTCATAATTTCTAGCATTTGCATATTTTTTTTGAGAGGTCCTAGAGATACCTATGTGAGCTATAAATTTGTTTCAGATACCCAAGAAGCTAAATTCGAAATTTTATGTTGCATATTTTTGCATATTTCGAAGTATAAGTGCTATTTTGCTTTTTTTTCTATTTTCCAATATTATTTTTCCATAATATTTATTTATTTTTTTTGTTTTCAGTTCCGTAGCTTTTAAAAAAAATTTTCTTAATAATAAAAAGTAATTATAGTCGTATTAATTATTTATATTAGTAATTAATTCGTGTAAATTAATTGTTCTTATAATATTATAAGAAAAAACTATATATAACTATACAAGTTTAGATGACGTGCGACCTAGCGAGAGTGTATGCTTGATACTTGGTAATCCCATCGTTAAAGAAATTGTAGCATATGCACTAGTATTTTATTTTTAGTTTCTAGGTATTCCGAAACCATTATCTAGATATTCCGATATCATTATTTTCAGATTATTTACAGATTATTACTCAGTCGTTTCCGATTGTTCGTATTGTATGCATGCTAGTTCATTTCGTGAATTCGCAATCTAAATTCTATAGTTTTGTTCATACAGAATTTATTTTACAATGCCTAAAGAAAAACAATCTGTTTCTAGTCGTCTTAAAAATATTGTTCGCGAATTTGGTGAAAATACATTTGCAACCGACGCTAGTGTATTACTATGTAAGTTTTGTAATATTAAAATTAACCACGAAAAAAAATTTAATATCACACAACATTTAAAAACCGAAAAACATATGAAGGCCGTTAAACGTGCAGAAAATCAAAGTGAAAAAAAAAAAACAACAATTGGTTACCAACTCTACCAAAAAGTCCTCATTCAGTAAAGATTTGTGTTTTGCGTTGTTATCAGCAAATATACCACTGAATAAAGTTTCAAATCAAAGCTTTCGTACATTTTTGGAAACTTATACCGGAAATAATGTTCCTACAGAAACAAACTTGAGACTTGGATACATAGATGACATTTTTGACGAAACAATGAGTAAAATTAAACTTGAACTGTCTGGTAAAAAAGTTTGGGTCAGCATTGACGAAACTACCGATGTTGAAGGTAGGTTTGTTGCTAATGTAATTGTTGGTATACTTGAAGCAGATTACCCGGGTAAACAATATTTAGTTCATTCAGAACAATTAGAAAAAACAAATTATTCGACTATTTGCAGAGTATTCGACAAATCTATCGGAATCATTGGTATTCAACACGAGGATGTTTTATTGTTTACATCCGACGCCGCTCCCTATATGATAAAAGCTGGTAATACATTGAAAGCATTTTATTCCAAAATGATTCATATTACGTGTACAGCTCATGGACTCTACCGAGTAGCAGAGGAAGTAAGGGGCAAATTTAGTAATGTCGACAAACTTATTTCTAGTGTTAAGAAAATATTCCGAAAAGCACCAAACCGTGTTCAACTGTTCAAAGATGAAGCTCCTCATTTAAATTTGCCACCGGAGCCTATTATAACACGTTGGAGTACGTGGATCATCGCCTCGAATTACTATTGTGAAAACATTGAAATCATACATAAAATTCTCGAAAAACTAGACGCCGATGATGCTGTTAGCATCAAAGAGGCCAAAAAATATATTTCCAAAGCTGGTATTGAAAGAGATTTGGCCTACATAAAGTCCAATTTTACAATTTTAACAGTTTCCATTACCAAGTTGCAAAAACAAGGGCTACCATTAGCTGAAGCTATAAATGTATTTGAAAATGTTGAAAAAGTTTTTGAAACACTTCAAGGACAAATTGGAAAAGCTGTTTTCAATAAACTCAATAACGTCACCCACAAAAATATCGGTCTTAAAATTTTAAAAAATATTTCAAATATATTATCTGGTGTAACTATGAACACAGAACTTGAACTTGGACTTCCTGAAGACTTTTCAACAGATGATCTCGTGTACTTTAAGTTTACACCAATTACGTCAGTGGACATTGAGCGGTCGTTTTCAATGTACAAGACTCTACTAAGTAACAATCGAAGATCATTTCACTTTGAAAACTTGTACAAACATCTAATTATTCAATGTAACTTTCAAGGTAAATATATGTTTAAAAATATTTAAAATATATAGGTATCATTATTCATTATTAATTATAATTTATAATTTTTTTTTTATAACAGAACAATCGCAGAATAAATGAGTACCACAAGTCGTTTACCACAATAATTCCGATGTAATATTATTCAATTTTTTTTTTTAATAATAATAATAGTTTACCACAATAATTCCGATGTAATATTATTCAATTTTTTTTTTAATAATAATAATAATTTTTTTTTTCGCATATTTTAGTATTTTTAGTGCATATTTAAGCGCTTATATGAATATTTTTAAGAGCATATTATTGCGCTTGTAATAACCTTTTTTAGAGCTATAAGTTATGAGCCCTGCTAATGACTATAACCTTTTAAAGCCTAAATAATTATTACAGTAATTAAAAGTTACATTTAAATACTGATTAATATTAACTATTGAAAATAATTTATTTTAGCGACTACTGTTAGGTAAGTAGTTAACAGTTTACATTGTTTTGGGGGAAAATTATCTTGATACATTTATTTAAGTGTGTTTACATTAATGATCTAAATGATTGGAGTATATATTACAAATTTTTTTGTACAATACAAGGATACCTACTAATTATTTAGTAACACTGCTTTTATTATTAATTAATATTGATATATTGTATTATATATAATTATTATATTATATATTATTTATTATATCTTTAATTTAATATATCTTAATAATTATCATTATTAAACACCTTTAAGACACCTTTACACTACAATCGTAGCTTCACAAAAAAATGTATATTATGTTTACTTAAATAAATGATAATACTATAAAGATTCTTGGCAAGATTCTTGCTGATGATAAATAATTGATAATAATCGATAATAATTAAAATGTTGGCGCAAAATTCAAATGGGCCAATGAAATGCGCGTATTAATATGCGGTGCTGGGGCTATAGAGCCTTTGTTAATACGCATACGGTATGTCACTTCGACTACCAGGCGAGATGTTCCACCCCACCTATCTGAACCGAAGACAGCACCGGAACTCGTCAGGAACCTACGAGACGCGATGACGCAACTTCAGCCGACACCCGGATCAAATCACGCGACGAAAAGATTGATTTTCTTACCTCCAGACCTGAATAAAGTCACGCATGTCTTTCTCCAAGTCGACGCTGTGCAACCGTCTTTACTACCACAATACGAAGGCCCCTATGCAGTACTAGAACACTACAAGAATTTCAAATTACAACGCAACAACGGCATAGTTTTAGTTTCTATTCACCACCTTAAACCAGCTTCGTACTCAGGGAGGATCCCGTAACCGCAGATCATACCTACGCAACACATGCCGAAGTCGTCTAGCCTGAAAATCACGTACATTTCTGTTTTTCTCTCCGCTCTTTGGGGGAGTAATGTGGCGACCCACAATATTGTTGTTAATAACCGCGGTAACGCGTCAACTGCGTGTCCCCCTACTTTCACATTATATATAGTCGCAATCGCCGATCGTCGTCGGCCTCCATGAGCATTACCTCCACCCGTCCAGTCGCTCGTACGTTTTTCACTCGACACGCGATTTTGCGATAACCTATAGCTTATTATATTTTGTTTATAATTCTTGTCATTTTATAATAAACGTACCTTTTAGCCTGACAGTCTTAGCGTTTTTAATATTGTTTCTTTTATTTAATTGGTATTGATATACACGAAACCAATGTTTTGTTTTTTCTAACATACTTGATATGGGCTAGTTTCTCTGGTATCACCACAGAATAAAACAGAATAGACACTGATAACAAATTACATGGGCAGCATAGGACAATAATGAAATCAGTCAGCCATTTTATTTGAGGTACAGTAGGAAGTTAGTAACATTTTACTCCATCATGAAACGGTAGTAATATTCTTCATAAGCTACTACGCATTTTCAAATGCTCTTAATAGTAGTATTATTTTTCAAGGTATTAGGTGCAATAAGAGTTTGAGATTTGGGGGGCTTATAAGTCTTATACTATGATATGAACATGGGTCAACACCCAACCTCCCATCATTACCAAAAAAATATAAATTGTGTTTTTGTAAATTTACTACAATAATGATTTGCATTTTATAATATTGTGATATGCATATATTATTAAGAAATAATAATACGCATATTCCTGAGTCGTATAAGGAAAAACGTACTATTGCACAAACTTAATGGGCGCCACGCGCGAATTTCAAACAACCACAACAACATCATCATTCGAATAAGACAATCAAGGCCAAGGGCAACCAAGTGATGAAACATCACTTGGATATGAAGACCAAGACCAAGGACAGCCACGTGTCGAAAACAACACAATTAAAACAGAATCAACAGAGTATATAAAGGCTCCGTTTCAACACCAACGGCAGACGTGTCCAGCTATCAGACCAAGCCCTTCTGAGTTTCGTCTTCGATATTGTTAACGCGTAAATTTATAATTTATATTTTTGTATCTATGTCTGTTTCTGTAATTGTATTTATTAAAGTGTTTACAAGTGTTTGAAATAATTGTTTAATCAAATTTATCCCGATCCAACAACATCATTACGATAGGTACCTGTTTTTATTGGGTACCACGTAACAATATTATATCAATACAAACGGTTTTAATAAACTTAAAAAATTTATATAAATACCTGTATAATACTATTTAATCATCGATGAATCTATTTTACACATTTTTTTTTTTTAATACTTCCCATTTTTAAATCCTGTACATGGGCCTGTATTATGGTAGACATACTATCTAAAAAATGATCCACAAGTAAAAACTTCTTGGAACCCAGTAAGTCACCATGTTTCACACTGTTTGGTAGATCACATATTGAACAATTACCATAATTGAAATTACAATTAATAACGAATATCAGTTATCACTGATTATAATTTGGTAACAAAAGTACCTCAATTAAAATGGTCACTGATTTCGTTGCCACCGTGTTGTGTCCACCCCTGGTATCACTTATCAATTATTTTATCACAGCAAAAATGTCCGATAAGAAATTTTAAACGGAGACTTCGAAACTACACATTATTTTGATAAACCAGAGATCCAAAATCTGATCTGAAGACTAAAAAAAAAAGCTCATGGGGGGGTATATCCCCCATCATACACCCCTGCGCATGCCACTAAATTTGATATACATATTGACATATTGCATCTTGTTCACTGGCAAATGGCGTATTCTTTTGAACAACAGATTTTTCATCGGAAATATTAACGAAGAGAGATGGCTAATTACACGTAATTTGATATACATATTCTGCATTATATCGAGAATGATGAGGATGTAAGAGTCTAAGTCCATAGACGTGGCCAGACTTTCTTGTCAGGAGTTGGTAAACTTCACCAAATTTAAAAAGTTTCAAAAAAATGTTCCAAAAATTAAAAATTTTATTTAATGTGTTATTTATTTTATCAATTAGATATTTTTACAGAATAGTAATGGTATAGTAATAGTAGTAATAGTATGGTAATTTATATATTTCTTACATTATAATTAATTAAAAATATTAAATAAACTAATTAAATCAAACATATAAAAAATTGTAAATTATACATTAAAAATATAAAATAATATAGTATTACAATATCAAACATCTGTTGTGAAGAATGATAATGATATTTTTGAACTCATAAATTATATTATCATAGTCAAGTTCTGATAATAGTTCTTGCTTGACAAACATAAGTAATAAGTTATTACTTATATTACAGGGCTCGAGATTTATAGCACTAATAAATCATGAAATATGCGATATTATATGCACCGAAAAATGTAAAATATGCACTATAAGATGCACTAAAAATATGAAAATATGCTTTAAAAATTATTTATTTAATATTTTTATTTAGACATTTATAAATTTATAATTATTAAAATTTAAAGAAAAATTTTTATATAATTTTACATTTATAATTTTCTACAAATAATGACTAAAAACTCTTTCCTGTTCTCATTAATTTGTATGTGTCGAATTTTGTCAATCTGTAAAATATAATTATTTCAAATCAATAAATCATTAAAAAGTAACTTACAGTTTGTACCTTCATAATTACACTGTATTATTATGTGTTTCCGAATATTTTCAAACTTGAAAGATCTGTTATTGCTTAATAATGTTTTGTACAACAACAACATTAAGATAAAAGATACGATAAACACAATATTGACTTGCATTGGGATATTTTAGGAATATTTTTTTCAATCGACAATGAGTTTTATAACGTCCCAAAACTGTTGATCACCGATGAGTGGTCGAAATACGTATTTTTGCAGGACTGAGTTTTCGATTTTTACATTAATTAGCAATAAATAGCAAAATAGTCGAAAAAATAGCAAAACCTCTAGAATATGCAAAAATATGCACTAAAAACTTTTAGTATTGAGTTCATTTTTGTCTGAAATGGATTTATTGCTTTTCATAAACTACAAAAAAATATGCAAATGCTACAAGTCTCGAGCCCTGGAATAACCCTTCTAGTCTATTTTTTGTCATATTCTTGCGAAGTTTTGACCTGACAATAGAAATTTTAGAAAATGACCTTCACAAGAACATGACGTAACTGGAATAACCAAAAATTTCATTAAATCATAAAAATGTGAAAAAATATGTTTTCGATTTAACTACTGTAACCATTCTAATCATTGATCAATATTTGTTGTAGAAGATCCACAAGAAATGTCTGTAAATCCTTTAAGAAGTTTAATTTCCTGTTCTAGTTTCTCTATTTTTTCCAAAGTACATGACTGAACAGTTTTTTGTATAAATTGTTAAAAAATGAGTCATCTGACCGAAAGTTTTGAAGTGTAGTATTCAATGAAGTAATTAATGAAATAGCTGATAGCAAATTAAGTTGTTTTGCCTGAAAATTTGCACTTACTTTCACAATTAATTTTAAAATTGGATACGTCATCTTTAAAGAAAAAATAAAACTAAACGATTTCATTTTCTTTATAATTCCTTTACACTTGGTATAATATCAGGTAATTTTGTGTTCTCATAGATATTTTCCAGCGTTTTAACTAAAGCAATATAGTTTAATTTAATATCGGCAACAGCTTCATATATACATGCCCACCTTGTAGTTGATAATGACTTCAGAGTAACTAATTTTGTATTTACTTCTTTTGCTAATTTTTCAAGTACTGTATACCATGTAGAGTAGGGTGGCACTCAAATTTTTTTTTTTTTTTTAGTTTTCTCATGTTTTTAATTTGATCTATCTATAATAAAAGTGATATTGTGAAAGTATGAAACAATTTAAAAAAAATTAGGAGGTCGCTCAATGCACTTAAAAATACCAAATATAAAATAATAATATTCCTAAAATAATTTTATTTTTGTAAAGTTAAATTTAATTATAAATGTAGTTTTAAATTATATTAGGAACAATAAAAAGTAAATACAAACTGGGTCATTACATTGCATAACTATTGTGTTGATAAAGTGTATAAAAATCATATGGTTTACAATCAATTACATTTGTAACAAAGTTGTCTTTCTGGAATCAGGAAAATCTTTTCTGTGTATTTAGATTACTTGCAGAATATATTGCTGTTGATCTTCTTGATTTGTAAGAGTTCCATTAAATGATGTCATCAATGCTATACGTCTTTTAGCTGCATCATTAACCACTTCGAGAGTTTTTACTTTATTATATCCATCCAGAAATTGCATACTATTTTTCCAAGTACTTGGGTGTGTCGTTAAAAAATCAGTTTTAATGTTAAAAGCCGTAAAAAGCTTATGTGTATTATTTTTAACAAAATCATTTAATTCACAAATTGAAATACTATGTTCTGGTATTGTTATTCTGTGTTCAAGAACATTAGTCCCAATTTTGTCTAGAGACTTTACCATTTTTAATTTAGTATCATCTGAAACTTGATTGTCAAAAAATGCCAATCCAATTAATGTATCACTAAGGTACCATAAATGTCCAGAAAAAACTTTTAAGGCTAATTTATAAATACCATTACTTGTATTTTTGTACCCATTCAAATTTTTTATGAAATTCAAATCATTTAGTGGTGCACCTGAAGCATCAATTGAAGTAAACCATGCTTTTAAATAAACTCTCATTATGAACAAAGTAAAATGTTCTAAGTTTGATAAATCTGTGTTTTTTAGTTCAAATTGTGAACGAAACAAAACAATTTTTATACTATAAATTATTTTCGACATCCATCTGGCTCGATGACAAGCTCCAGGTTTTTTAAAACCATTTTTTTCGGGAAGCTTTTCTCCAAGGAAATATAAACTTAATTGCAGCAACTCTTTACAGTCATCACGTGGTTGAAACTCAGTTAATTGATCAAGTATAAATTTTACCATATCAGTTTTTATCACATTTAAATTTGGTGACAGGAATGTACTCATTAAGCCATTTTCAAATCCCTCTTTATTTATGTTAGGCCAAGATTTTGAAAATTGTTTAAATAATGCAATATCTGGTCCATTTGATGGACCCATTAAACAATCAAACACTTTACCTACGACAATTTCAAAAATATGATGCCGACAGGCCAATTTTAACAATACTCGTTCTAATTTTTTTTCTAATAACACACATGCACCACTTTTAAGTCCTGTATTGCTAGCAGTAGTGTCAAAACACATAAATTGAACACGATTTGATAAGTCCCAGTCATTAAGAAAATCATAAATTGCCTCAGCTATTATTTTTCCAGTACCTTTTAACAATTGTGGAACGCCTAAAAGTTTCAAATTACCATTTCCGGAAACTAAAACGGCTTGGCGATCTACATGTTCTGTTTTTGTTAATGTTGGTAGGATTTTTCCATCAAAATGAATTACTAGTGAGTCAGATGGATCAAAAGCAGATTTTATATCTGCTGCAATTTTTTCTCTTTGTTGACGACGAGCTCTTCGTATTAATTCTCTATTTAAAGCAATGCTAGTTAAATCTTGTCCAACTGATTGAGCCACAGCTGCTAATACAAATGTCGCATTTCTGTTACTTATATTAGCTCTGTCCAACACTGATGTTAGGGTACTATTAACTACATTTTTTACTCTTTTCTATGGACATTTTGACTGTTCAGCGAACTTATCTACTTCAAATGCAATATCATCCATGTCACTTTGCTCGTCACAAGAAGAATCGCTTATTAATTGTACTTGATATGATGATTCAAATTTTCATTGACTTTCCTTACGTTTTCTTCTATTCAATATTTCATTTTTTTGTATACGTTTTTCTTCAATTTCATCAAAATGTATATCTCTTTTTGCCATATATCCTAGACGTCCTTTTTCTCTCCGAGCTAACAAAAACAACTTGTCTTCTTCGATATTAATTAAATTTAATGCGTTGTTATGTGCTATATCAAATAGATCGTCAAGTATATTTATAAATTGATTTTCTTTTATTATTTGGTTATCTGACCGTCTTAATGAATTTTTTTTTAAGTTTATCCATTTTGTGTGTAAATCATTAAGTTTTTTAGATACGTGGTATTCTTGTTTAGTTGGTATATTAGCCCTGACCCAAAATGTAATGACTTCACGTGCAGTTAAAGTAGAACTTTGTCGAATAGAATAATTATTATCCAAATGTAAATTAAAAAACTTACATAATGTTTGACGAATTGATGGCAGTTTGTTCCCAAATATAGTTTCCGACGTTGATCCAATTAACCAAATATCTCGATTTTTCAATGAAGACTAAGGTATAAATTTATATTATTTATTACATTATTCTTTAAGTAAATATTGGTGAATAAAATAAAATACTTACTCGAGTCATAATGAAAATATTGAATCAATCAGTAGATTTAAAAATGTATAAAATAATCTTCTCTATACGTCCGTAGTCAGTACACATAAATGTATTAAACAACACTAAACACTAAAATAGTACCGTCGTACCAGTATCAAAAGATAAACTGACCAGAAACTTAGATTACATTAATACAATATTGTTATCGATATAAAATAATGACTGCAGTACAATTATAGTACAATTATAGATGTAATTTCCTTATAGATGTAATGCCTTGAGCGACCGTTAAATATTATTTGATTTGCACCAAACTTTCAACAAAGCATTTTTACACCAAATGAAACAATATTAAACCATGAGACATGATAAAAAAAAAAAAAAATCACATACAAATGAGTGCCACCCTAATGTAGAGCTCCCTTCTAAAAATACATAAATTGAACAGTACCGAAAAAATCAAAAAGTACTCTATTTTTAAGTCCAATTGAATATATTAAAACTAAATTTAAGCAGTGTGCGTAATAATGCACATAGAATATGTTTTCATTTTTTTCTTTACATTTTTTCTGAACACCATTATAATATCCGGCCATAGCTGCTTATAATTGATTCTACACGTCGGGGTTGACGATAGATATTAGTTAACTGACTTTGAGATGATCTGTAACCGTTAGAGAGGTTATGCCATCGAAATTATAACAATATTTTTTAATACTGAGATACTTATACTTTATTTATATTATAACACAAATAAATTTTCGTAACAAACCCGTATGGTGTTATATACAATGCATTGATATGAATTTTTTTTTTTTATGCATTTTAAAATATGTATTTTAAAAAAATTAATACGTAGTGAATATATGATTAACGAAGAGACACAATCGATAATTCAAATTTATTCACAATATTCTGAAATATTTCATTTAGAAGGGGATCATTTAACTTTTACAAATGCTGCAGAGCATAACATTAAATTAAGGGAGCTTGAGCAACCATTTTTTAACAGTGGGAGTTCTGCCCGACCGAGTCTCGAAACTAAAGGCACATACACACTACGCTGACGTGACGCATTAACACGCAATAACACGTGTAATATAATTTTCCGTCGATCTAACGTGTGTAGTGATGTATACATTAGCCTGACGTGACGTGTGAACACTCAATCACACGTCACACGGTGTGACACGCGTCAGCTGCCGATCAAATTTTTAGATTTTTGTCAGTCGTGTGAAGCCGTGTGAAGGCACAACATGGAGGAAGAGCTTATCGAGTATGTAAGAGCTTATCCCATGTTATATAATTTTAAAGACAAGCACTACAGAAACCAAGTTGTTAGAAAGGAAGCTTGGGACGAGATCGGAGAAAAGTTGGGTAAAACGGGTGAGTATAAACATTTTTAGAGCATATTCTTGCATATGTGTTTGTCTATTGGGACGGATTATTATGTATTAATATATTTCATATTATTTTATTTATTTATAAATATTAATAAAATAATAATAATAATATTATAATAAAATATATATATAGGTAATATTTATAATATATATTTTAATAATAAAATAATAATATTTAGGTATACGTAAATATTATTTTATTTATTTTATTATATCATTTTATTTTATTTTATTATTTCATATATTAGCATATTTCTATAAAACATTATTATGGTTTGTAAAATTGATATTGGTTTTCGGTAAATTCTATATTATAATACAATTCTGTAATTTCTAATTGCGTCGGCGACGGCTAACGACGGCGTAGGTCGTTCACGTTATCGTCGTAATCGCACGTCTATTTAAAAATAAATTTCGTCTCAATTATCATGTTATTATTAGTTTATTTTTATACTTTCTTATTTTATCATAATTATAATTGTTTTGACAAAAATAAAAACGGACGTAAAAATATCATTGATAATTTGGATTATATGTATATTACAATATATTATTTTATAATTGTATTCCTCGCAATGCGCAAAAAAACTTCAATTTAAAATGTCGTTTAATGAGGGATTCTGCCCAGCCGTATGTAATCCCATTGCCATGGACAACTTGCTGTTCCTTCTGGTGATATAAAAAAGTTTTTGAATTTTTCTCTTGTTTGAATAGCATCGCGTATATAGTTTCTACGGATCGGTGTCAAATCTTCTAAACCACACATTTCTTCCTCGGTTACCATGATTTCTTTTTCAAATGGTGTGATCACTTTGTTTTTACGAAGCATATTGTGAAGGCAACATGCAGATAAAACGATATAATCAGCTGATTCTGGTTGTGTTTCGATTGGCTTTAAGAATATTCTCCAACGCCCTGCTAGAATTCCAAACGCGTTTTCAACAGTGCGTCGTGCTCTTGAATGACGGTAATTGTAAATTTTTTCGTGTTCGCTTACAATGGAATTCCTGCTGTACGGACGCATCATCCAAGTTTTTAATGGGAATGCTTCATCAGCGACGACAACGTAGGGAAAAGATTGACCCGTTAATACTGTTAGTTCATCTTCTTTAGGAATATGAAGTTGGTTTGTAAGTAGTTTTTTCCCAAAAGTCGACCTTTGTAGTGTACCACCATCGCTATTTCTACCATAAGCTCCAACATCCACTAATGTAAACTTGCTATAAGCATCCACCATGGCTAATAAGACTATAGAATGCGTTCCTTTATAATTGTAATATGAAGATCCAGCTTTGTATGGGCATCGTATTTGTACATGTTTCCCATCCAATGCTGCCATGCAATGAGGATAATTCCATCCATTTTTCATAAAACTCCTTGGCAATACATTTCCAGTGGTTTTTATCAGGCTCAATCATGTATATGGGTTGCAGAGTTTTCCAAATAGCTTTACAGCATTCTTTTACAATTAAGCCAACGGTAGTGAAACCAATTCGAAAAGAAAACCCAACGATCTATAAGAATTTCCAGTTGCTAGGTACCTGTAACAAAAATATTAATTTCGTTTTTTGTGAATTTACGGTATCGACAATCATATTTTAAAATATTATTTTTTTTTATTTTTATTTTTTTTTTGTAGGTGATCAGTGCAAAGATGCATGGAATAAAGTACACAATGCTTACACTAACGCATTAAATAGGAGAAAAACCAAATCCGGTCAAGCAACCAAAAAAATGGTAAAATGGATATATGAAGATCAAATGACATTCCTAAATCCCTCTGTGGCAACTAGAGAGTAAGTGAAAACAAAACCTAATGTTGTGCTATTAAGTTTTAAGTTAGGTTGGTAGTTTAACAAGCTTTATACATGTTATAGAACTCATGGAAATTCGAGTGAAATTTCACAAGACGAAACTCAGGAAGAAGAGAATAATGTTGATGATCCTGAAGCAATTGGAGCAATAGAAGATGAAACCCAGCCTTCTCAGTACCAGAATGTCAACGAATCTCTTTCTACTGATAAATTAGATTTTATTTCTCCTGAACCGCCTTCAAACGATTCAAAGAGAAAAAGTACAAGAATTGAAGCCACCATGAACGAATTGGTTTCAATAATGAAAAGCAATAGCCGTATGCGCTCACAACAACTCTCTCAAAATCAAAGTGCTACTTCTCAATCTTGTCTTCATGATGAAGAAGAAATGTTCTTTTTGAGTTTAGCCAGATTTGTAAAAAAATTAAAACCAGAAGAGCGTATTAGGGTGAAATCGGAGGTGTCTCAAGTTGTATTTCAAGCAGAATATCGTAACCTTCAAAACCCTCAACACTACAATCAACAAGACCAATTCTATATACAATCACCTGCAACTTCTGAACAGTCTATTTACTCAGAAACAGATACTACAAATACACAACTACGATCTCTGTAAATATAATCGTTAATTTTATATTAGTAATTATATTTGGTTTTCATAAATATTTATTATGTTGTACATTATTATTACTAACCTAACCTAGTGTAATAAAGTATTCTGACTAAATAATTTACATAGTCCATCCCAGTCCCTAAAATATCCAAATTTTTGTACTACACACACAGTTCCAAATCGGTCAAATTTAAATTAAAAATGAATTATTGTAGTGTTGTATGCGGGCTAATTCTAGATAAACACTAGTATACTACCACAGTACCACCGTTCAATTCTGACGAAACTGATAAAAATAAAAATAGCTACTCCCAATAACAATAAATAAATAATAATAACTATAATAAGAGTATAATACATAACAGCATAAAATATTGTTTGCTGTGTGTCTGTGTATAATTTAGATAGTTAAAATGTGTTTGGAAAAAAAAACAATTAAAACATAAAAAAAATGTGAAGCTATAAAATTATACATATTACAATAAAGGTTTAATTTGAATAACACATTTTTAAATTTCCTACTACACACTTCACTTTTCGTACTATACAAAGTGTATCGTACTACCACACAATATTTTAGGACTGGTCTATCCGACTAATGATAATTTTAATTTAAATATAAAAAAACCTTACCTTAAGCACAATGCGAATCTCTGTTCAGGTGAAATGCTCTCTCTCAGCTGTGTAGTGCGTTTTTCGATCTCAGGGCCAATCATTTCCAATAGATAGTAGAATTCATCTTTGTTCATACGAAAATACATTTGAAATCTCTGTTCATCTTCAAGCAATTGTGGCATGAGATGATGAAATTCACCGTATAACTTTCGGTTTAGATTGATAGGATGTACCCACGTTTTTCTATTTCCGTTATTCTTTACTATCATGGTCGCTAAAACCGCTACACATTCTTCTTCTTCGTCGAGTTCATCCCAGTCCATAATTAGATTATTATGATTTTAGCGATGTTTTCAGTGCGTACGAACCCAATCGTCACAATCAACTGAATAAACTAAATAATCACTTTTAGTAAAGTGGCAGGGTATTTATATTTACGTACAGCTCTGACGCGTGTGATACTGATTAGTGTGTACATTAATGACAGCTGACGTGTTCCCACGTGTAACGTGTTATTGCGTGTTAATGCGTCACGTCAGCGTAGTGTGTATGACTCTTAACGCAAAGTGTAAAACACTGTTCTCCAGTTAGTAGTTATGCGTCGAGCGCGCAGTACAAACCCCGGAATCTCCAATGATGAAAATGTGATAAGACACTGTCAGTGTACTGTTCAAAGATGTAAATGATGCCTTCAAATGCATAGAAAAAAGTTAAAAAAAAAAAAGTAAAAAGTCATTTAGCAAATCGACGAGTGTCTCCGTAAGCACAACGAAGTTTGAAGAAGCTATGCTAAATTAAGTCATTGAAAAAATCATTATCGACGAAATATTTAACATAGACGGTAATGCGTGAAAGGTATGTTGTGCATGTAACAATAAAAATAAAAATATAACAAAAATCTGACTATTATTTTTCGGTCTTGGATGTATGTTTTTGTAGATACTTGACATTCAGGCACTTCTCTTATTTTTTTTCTTAGAATCGCTACAAAAATTAACAAATTTAATATTATTGTTCGAATGAGCTATTATATTCGTATCTGGCCATAACAACCGGTTCACTCCGATAACATGCCGACGATGGAATTTTCGCGAACTTTTCGGTCGGCGCACTTCATCGCGCTGGCATCACGCTCCGAGGCGGCACTTGCAAACCAGGCAAGCGGGTTGCGCAGATCGTCTGTGCCAACTTGTATTTTGTGTGTTTTTTCGTTGTCTTCCTATTGAAGATTGTCATCACGTGACTGTGCGAGACACAGTACTGTCTCCTACGCCTCCGTTACGGGTGTTTGATTGGGCCGTTCCATAGGCCAAATAGTTGTGCCGTGGTCCGTCATTTTCGTATGCGTGGCTCGTACTTTCCACATCGCTATTCAGGCCATCGGCAGTGTCACCGTCGTCGAGGTTAGTTGCGTCCAGTGAGCTGTTCCGAAGTTGTCGACATCTGTCGGTCTTGGTGGCTGTCGCACGTGCTGTGTGCACGGTCGCGTGGGCACAACCACACAGACCATAAGACCGTTCGAGGTATTTATGATCGCAACCGGTGACGTGTTAATTATTGTTAATTTTTTTTATTAATATCATTATTATACCTATTGTTTATTATTATTATGATTATTTGAGTACTTTAAATCTCGGACGCCCATCAATTGTATAATTATTATCATCGTTATTATTATGGGATATTTATTTTAATATAAATTAACGGTACCATAATTTATGTTATTTACTCAATCTAAGGCTACCTCTGTCCCTCATTCCTTTTTGCTGATTGACGTTATAGTCGGGTTTATTTCGGGTGTGGCGAGGTCGTCGGATTACCTCTGTCCGACCATTGAGGTTTCGCGTACAATTATCTTGATAAAATATTATAAGATTTGGGATTATCTATAACATAAGATTATAAAAATGGCTTATCTACCCTTGAACAAATGTATGATTAATTAATTGTGCAATTATTAAACACAATTTGAATATTTTTTAAAAATCAATATAACATACTCGTCCTTTAACCATTTCGCTGATGGTGCCGGTGCAATACCACGTCTGTTCTTCAATAAATTCGATTCCATCATCAACTGTAATACTTTAAATTTATTTTCACGATTTTCAACACATGTCTAAACAATAAAGGACTATGGTTAAATGCGAATAACATTCATCATCGATTCAATTGAAAAATGATTAGATAACTGATACATGTTTGCTGATATGCACAGAAACCTTAATACATTATATATCTCGATTTTTAAATAATGAGTATAATTTTATATCTTACTATCAACAATCATAATAACGTACTGGGGACTAATGGATGAACATAAAACTTACGTTAAGAAACAAAAAACTACTGATAATTACTAAGTAAACGTCTCTCCACGTTTCGCCTCTGCCAATGTACTCATTCCAGAAATGTTTCTTTGTGTGATATTCCCACAGCTTACTGGTGTATTGTATCAGATAAACATTATTTTTTTCTATTCTGTACAACTGTTTGGGAGTAGCGAACTTCAGTGCCGGTTCTAGATGCTCAAATGGGATCCCTTTAGTAGATTTCAAATCTAAAAAAAAAAGAATTAAAGTAATATAATATTACAATAATATCAATAAATTAGTGAAATCAAAATAGAATTAAATTCGTGTACACCGTGAACCGAGAAAATAATATGTACCGTCTAAGTTCTTCTTCAGAAAATTTATACAAGTATCTTTAAGACTCGGAACTTCTGGATCCACAGCCTTTTTATTCCCAGCGTATACCTTCGTCCTTTTAAATATTATTTAAGGTGAAAACAAATTTATGAATATATTATTATTCTATGTAAGACCTTTTGTATTTTTTTGACAGTATTTCGTCCAATGGATCAATCTCCTCGACGAACTTTCTTTTGTTTTTTAACGTTGATCCGTCTTCATTCAGCCGTTTGGTAGAGCTTCCCGCTGCATCCGAGTCCATGGTTTTCAATTAGTTAATAAATGTTGTTATGAAAATTGAAAAAAAAACTGATTTTTCAAAATATTTAATTTCTTTTAAGACTGATTGAAAGATATTAAGATATTGGAAGAATGATCTCCACTTATACCGTTATTACATGTATAATACTAAGTAAGTTCATATACGAATACACTTGGACACTTAGTAGGTAGCAAATATAAATTCTCATACAAGAATGAGATATCAAGCTTGTTGCTATTAGAATCAAACATGTCATAGATTAACATCACCCATGGAAACGGAATATATACATTTATATTTTGTCAACTATTTTTTAAAATGAAATATTTGGTATTATCTCAGTTATTTGGAAAACTGTTGATAATTATAAAAATAACTTGAATGTACTTAAATGATAACATCTTATTGACAGATAAAGGAAAAATCAAGACGTTAAAGCTTGTACATTTTTCGCTTCGCTCAGAATCTATAATGATTATACTAAAGGACGTGCCTGGAAATTTTTTTCGGCGAGGTTCAATATTTTTACTATCTCATATTCAAACGCATTTATTTCACATGATAATAATTTTGGTAATAATTATATAATATTAGAAATATCAACAATCGACAATGAATTATATAAATAACTATGGAAAATGTTTACGATGATAAACTGTGAAACACCGAAGACTAAGGATTATGATCTTTGAATGATGTATTTAATAGAACACTTATTTCACACACATTTTCATAATCCTATAATACTTATAAACTATACATAATGTCCACAATTATGATAAATTATTATTAAATGTATCAATAATTTATTAAAAATGATTTAAAATTTCTAATAATACTTGTGTAAATAAAATATTGAATAAACTAATAAAAATATATATCATGGATTATTATAAAAATAGTTTAAATGTATTTCTTACGACTAGTTTTGATTTAAAAAAATCATCAATTATACAAAAATACATTATTAATACTTTTTTAATATTTTAAGAGTTTAAGCGTATTAACCACATTATAATTATGTTAATATATATCATTTGAGTTAAAATGTACAGCCTGCCAAAGTCATGATGTTGTGATTTTGATATTTTGTTGATTAGTTGATTTAAAATAAAATTATATTTGTTACTTAATTTTAAATCTTAAATAAACTTAAATAAGTTTAAGTACATTAAATATATTAATTAATTTAAAAAAAAAAAGTGAATTCATTATAACTTGATGATAATCAATAATTAATGCACTAATACGTAAAAGCATTCTAATTAAAAATTTCAAAATAGAAACCGGGTTTAGATAAAATTGTGGATTTTGAATTTCGAATTCCGATCACCGAAAATCTAGATTTTCAAACTTCGGCAAATGCAGTTTTTCTTTATCACTAGTAGGCATGAGCGTATTTAGGGAGGGGGTGATAAGAGTATTGGAACACCCCTCCCATCGACCGTATTTTATGGTATTTCATCAATTTGCAAAGTTAATTACATTATAATTTAAATAAACGTAGGTGTTTCGCCGCCAGCACTTGCTTTTTGCAGTTTACTGAGCGACTCGCGAGTGTGTGGGAGCAAATGATAATATATCCAGAATATAGTGTTACAAATAATATATAATGAACGGATACATAAAAAATACAAACAATATAGTATAATAATGTAACAACGCTGAAGACGTCTCTTCCGACAGTTGCGAGAATAATAATAATAATAATAATAATAATAATAATAATTGTATCAACAAGCTGACATAAAATGATTATGATATGAAATAAAGGGCACGACAAGTGTGCAGTATACAAATTAATATAGATAGGTACCGTAATGAATAACAAATAATAATGTCAACGATACCGCCGGTCGCACGTCCCGAGGTTGGGATCCCACGGCGATGACTGTTCTCGTAGTATTCCACGATCCTGCGATGTCACCAAAAATAACAGCGAGAGTAGACGACTCGACGATGGTGATAGATCACTGCCAACAACAAACACGGAATCTTTGGTCCAACACGACGACAACGTGGTACCAAAAAAGCAAAAGACACCCACGGTCACGGCAACTATACCGGACGGCGGTGGAAAAACGACAACGCACAGCCAGAAAGTCGGTTGTCAGCGAGACCGGTCGTCAAAAGTTCGCGCAAGCGCGTTCCGGCGTCCACAAGGCAGCGGG